TATATATATTTTATATATATATATATATATATTTATATATATATATATATATATATATATATATATATATATATATATATATTATATATATATATATATTATATATATATATATATATATATATATATATATATATATATATATATATATATATATATATATATATATATATATATATATATATATATATATATATATATATATATATATAGAGAAGGATAATTAAAACACGAAGTGGAACTTCGTGTTTTCTTCTTTCCTTGTTATCAGCATATACCTAGATCACGCACCTACAGTGATTTACTTTTATATATATATATATATATATATATATATATATATATATATATATATATATATATATATATATATATATATATATATATATATATATATATTAGTGCAGCAGATATATGCACTGTTAACTGTTAACTGTTAACTGTTAACTGTTAACTGTTGATTCTGTATAGGTTAATTAAGCCGGAACATTTATATTATACAGGCTTTTAGTAGCGAAACCCAATTGTCTGTTATCTATTTATTCAGGAACTATCTAGGATACAGTTCCAAGTGTAGATCACCGTAACTTACCACTGTAACTATGAGTGGTAAGAGAAGGACGGAGGCTTTGTAAATAGTCCTGCTAAATACCTCCGATCTGTGTGAGGATTTGAGTAACAATGCCGATGAGTAGTGACCCATCGAGGAAGAACGGAAATATGTACGTCGTCCTCCGTCGACGGAAGACGGAACCATCCACGATGGCTCTCAATAACGTCTTCCTCTAGTCAAGGATATCAAACTACTGCCTGCATTAGGTGGCCAGAGAGCTGGCTACTTAGTGCTTTAGCTCAGCACTAAGTGACACAACTTCCCGTGGGCACACCTTAACACGTGCTCTGAACATGCTACCTCATAGCTAGTGGAAAGTTACAGAGGGTGATAGAATATATAAATCAAATGTAATTATCCCATTTATATAATACTTCTGCCTTCTAGACAGGGGCTATTATAATAATAACTAAACTTGGCACAATGTTAAAACATCCATATCTAAACCAATATATGATATAAAGTCACTCAAAAACCTGTCAAATGTACCATTGGCGGCCATTTTGGGAAATGGCCGCCACTAAATGCATATTATACAGTAACTCGGGACTTATTCATACGGAAACATACCTTTGTGCCTATATCTATGTTTTGAAGGGTTTACAATCCAGTGGATATCTAATATACTATAGGACTAGCTGTGTGTCTGTCTGTCTGTCTGTCTCTTTGTGTGTGTGTCTGTTCTGGGCAGCCAAAACGGCACAATCGTTTTTCATCAAACTTGGTGGAAAAATCGTAAAAAATTCGTAGAGTGGAACAAACCTGGTCCCATGTCGATGGTTTCTTTAGGTAGGCATTAATTAACAATTTTATTTACGATGGAAAACGATGCAAGTCTACGGACTTGGAGCACCCTCATTAACCATGCAAGTCTACGGACTTGGCTCACCCTCATTCGCTGTACGCTGTTACGAGCGTTCAAACTTTTACAAGGGCACGAAGGGCACGAAGGGCCGGCGATCACTTGTAGATACTATAGAGCATAATTCCAAAAATGCCACTCAATCTATTTTTGTCTGTATCTCTATTTATATTTGAGATAGAAACTGAATTAGAGTGTCTATACACATGTTTTCAGGGGCATAGAATACAATAAGAAATATTTTGAGTGCCTAGGTTTAGTAAAATATACCATTAGTGACCAATTCAGAAAATGACTGCCATGAATTCTATGCTTTTTCGTGGCTTGATTCAAAACTGAGATAGCAACATGATTTTTGTATCTACCAGAAATAAAATTGATGCCATAAATCTTTACCAGGATCACTCTTCCACATTTTTTATTCAATTACCTAGTATTTACATTCTTATTTGATTCTATGAATGATACCTTTTATATATTTAACATAACACTGTTAAGCAATTCAAATTATCAATATATTCATCCTAAATACCACAAATTCCATGTATGAGTTCAATATGCACAACTAATAACGATAATAACATGTAATTTAAATTTGAAAAGCAATATGGTATATTTAACAGACATACGTTTACTTCTGGACTGAACCTGATCAATTATCAAAGTGGAAAACGAGACAACTTACTTATATTCCGTGGTTTTATTATTCACATACATATAACTGATTTACCAAGAAAATTATGGCAATAAGGCAATCATAAGCTTAAATTAATGTTGATCTCATATTAATTACATTTCAGCCAGGTGGACAAGGATAACGATATACTGTGCAGTCAAACCGCGTGAGCATAGACTTGTGCATGGTAGATCAGCTTTTGTACATTTACACTTTCCAGAACAGCTTTTCTTGAAGCCACACTTCAAGAGAGCCTGAATTCCAACTGAAGCTTGCGGCAAGTTTGTCCAGTACGATAACCATTCCGAACCTTCCATCATCACCCAGCCCTAATCATTTTGAGATAGGTAGAACTGGAGAAGTAACCAGGGACTGCCTCCACACATGTCCTACACAGCACTTTCAGTGAGAGCTGCTTTTGTTGGAGGAATTGTATTCATTGATCTAACTTTCCGCACAATAGAGAGAGACGAGCAACATTCACTTTAACTTCTTCACTTACTCGATTATACAACAAGACTAGATGCAGTATCTCTCCGGCAGTCGAAATAAGACATCAATTGTTTCTGGTGCCACTGCTATGGACATCCCAAGCAGTCTTTCGGTCTGACCTACAAAAGAAGACAAATATCAAAGCCAGTGAAGGCCTGGAATGGTGCCAGCTTTCTTATCTCCAACGATGCTGCTCACATGTGCTGGAAATTAACGTTTCTTCTTGTCTGTTCCTATTTCCACCCAAAACTTATTTAGTCTCAGTCTGCCGAAAAGTGTGAAAGCCAGAACAACGACATCAGTGTCAACCGTCTTTATCAGTATTTTTTCACTTCACTTGGCTCCACAATTTGCTGTATGGAGTAACAAGCGCCCATCAGCCTCTTCCTGAGAACACGAAGAGAGGGTATCATAACTACGACCACCACTGCTGAGAGAACTGCTCCCATGGGTTGGCATGGCATTTGTACCATCACGATCATCAGCTTCTACCACAGCCAAAGCAAGGTACCAGAACAGTTCTTCCTTTTTCTTCTCACCACGCAGGAAGTTTTCCCAGTTATGAGGAACGCTGTTATCAGGTGGTTTTGCCTCTCTTTATCCGTGTTGCCTTCTTCAAAGTATTGGTGACAGAGATCCCAGACAACATCCACCCTTCTCCAAGTACTATGAAGCAGGCCGACAATGTTTGGTACAAAGGATTCGAGTTTTGTCAGGGCGGGACGTAGCTAGTGGACCAAAGCAGCTCCATCAATGATAATGGATCCATATTTACTGGTTATGCCGATATGGCTCTCTCCAAAATCAGACAGTGATGGTAGGTAAGGCTGCTTCTCATGCTTGAAAAATTCCTCCAGATTTTCACTTCAAACTTGGCAGGATATATGAAGCCTGGAGAAAAGGGAGCAATCAGCCTTAAGCGAATTTACTTGCAGCTTCTTTTTCGAAGTTACCTTCTGGTTAGGCTTTCAGAACAAGACACGTTTGTTTTTTTAATAGGTTCATATATGGATACTCCTCCATCAACAAGTCTATCTTCTACATACTTTAATAGGTAGTAGGTAGCAGGCAGTTATCAAACAGGGAGGTACTACCGCCTGGGAAGATATTGGAAACATAATGTATATTGACTAATGGTAGACCCTGCTGCCATATGGCATCACGAAAATTGTGACCAAGTCCCAGGTTGCTGATCTGACTTTCTGCCTCATTTACACACAATTGCAGGGTCTCAATTGTTTCTCTTACTTTGACAACATAACATACTTAATGTAATGTATATCGTTTCTCATTCTTGATTTATCTTTTTCGTTTTTGTATTTATTTATGGTTATTAGTATTATTTTTAATATATTATTTTTTGTAGTATTTTATTATTTTTTAATTATAATAATAATAATAACAATAATAGTTATTATTATTATTATTATTATTATTATTATAATTATTATTATTATTATTATTATTATTATTATTATTATTATTATTATTATTATTATTATTATTATTATTATTACTATTATTATTATTATTATATTATTATTATTATTATTATTATTATTATTATTATTATTATTATTATTATTATTATTATTATTATTATTATTATTATATTTTCGCCCTCAGGCTCTGATGTGGGTCAGTGACCTGTGCCCGAGTATGTGATATTTCAAGTATCCACTACCATGCAGATACTTGTTTTCTTCGAGGAAAGGATTTCCCATTTCCTCTACCACAGCTGCTAGAGATCTGACGTCCTTCGCAAGGCGATCTTGGGTAGATTTTGTCTGTTCATAATGCTGTAAATCACTAACTCCACCGTCAACATCTTTGTCTAGATGTATTTCAAACTCCTTGACAATTCATAAGATCTCCAGGTGTGCCAACCTCCATCTTCTAAGTGCTGCCGGATTCTCTGTCAAGTCTATTGCCCCTTCCATCACATTTGACTTATGGGTTGACCAGTTCATGTGTATGATCTAAACCAATGCATGAGAAAGGTTGAACTGTTTTGTGGACCACAAAACCCTTGTCGTTGAATTCTCTGTGTACGTATGGGTGTTAATCAGTTAGTGAAGCCATGTCTCTAATGTGGGTTGGGAGCCATCGAACATAGTTCACATGGTCCAGGGCTGCTAACATGAAGCTGGAAGTTGCCTTGTCTGATGGAACTTACAAATGATAGAACCAGGAGCTGCGAATTCGTTGTCTTTCTCCATTCAAAATATGGATGTAGACTCTTTTATCACAATGATGGACAAGTAAAATTAAGTATCAGGACTCTATTTCCCTAAAAACATAAGCTGATAAACATTAAGTGGTGGCCATTTTTATTTTTCTTCAAAGCAACCGGCAAAAACTACTTTATTGAACTTGTATAGTCGCAGTCAAAGGTAATCACCCACCCCTCCTACTACCATACCCTCGAGCTCAATCCTTTCTACACGACAGGTCACAAGCAGGTGGGGAGGTATTGATGGGGGGAAAACAAGGGTGACGGACCCTGTTAAGGTAAGAGAGCGAATGTAGTCTTAGAATTAACCTCAACACCTGAGTGTTAAGTTGGTGGATGTAGCCTGACGTTGATGCCCTTGATGACCGTGGCAGTTGATAGGCCTAAAGCCCAAACAACCAACCAGCCAGGGGGGCGGGTGTCCGGGGCGGTGAAGGGGAGGTGTCATATGGACTTAACTTTTCCCTTAGTTATCTATGCCTTTACTTAAGATTCTAGGGAGGAATGAGAGTGAGCTTTTGGCAGGTAATGTGTCATTCAGGTTGATAAGGCGTTTGGCTTCAGTGAAGGAAAGCCCCTGGTATAACAAAATAAGAGAGGATGGGGTGTGTGGCTTGTAACCATAGGTAACACTAACCTAGGCTGTGATACTTGATCAAGTCTACTTTTCAAGACTACCGTTCTTGAAAAAATCAATAGATTAATTGAGAAAAATAAATAAATATAATTGAATTGTTACTTAAGCACTTCTACCTCTCGCCAGTAACGTTCATAAAAAAATAACTATTAAGTGATAAAATAAAATAAGAATAAATTGTTGGATAGACCATGACTTGTCCTCCCTGTAATATGTTTATTAGAGTTGTGAAAATCAGTGGAAGTGATGAGGCGGTAATGGCAATGGCGATGACCACTGCTCCACACCCAGCTCAGGATGGAAGCTAAAGGACGTACTGTACCTGTAGATTGGCGAGTGGCAGGCAAATTATCGGTTTGCGAGCGGCTGGCTACAGTGTGTCAGAAATTGTACGGGCGGCTGGGATCATTGTGAGACGTTGGTTAACCAGCTGGGAGGAGTCTGGCAACTTGGGAAACCTACCGCGGTGTGTAATGCAAACAAAACATACTTGTACTCTTAATTCATATAAATTATATAATTTCAGGCCGGAGAGACCACGATTGACCAGAGAGGAGGACAATGAATAGGTCATTGAGATTCTGTATGACAAGTGTTGGTAAATATTAAAAATATATGTGATTTCCAACTTCGTATTCAATATTTATCCTCATATCAACGTTAATTGAAAGATCTAATTATCTTCGTTTACAACCTGAACAACAACCTGAAAACAAATTATGAATCAGAAAATACATGGCAGATTATTCTCTTAAGCAGGAAAACCTAAGATAATAGAGTGAAAAAAAAATACATCCAGCCTTTCCTTCCTTCTTTTAAAGAATTTCTCTGCTTTCTTCAACCCTCTCCTTCTCCGATGAGGAACTTGCATTGCATACCACCCTCCCACACCCCTTCCCTGCCCCACTCCCCCAACAAACGGCTCCCCTCCAAGTCGACCATTCGCCCTCTTCACCCCATTTGACCTACCACGCAGAAAGGATCCACTCAGGCACAAGGGGTTAGGTGATGGAATGGTTGATTACTTTTGACCGCGACTGTACTCCAGTATACCTATATATACTGGATTCTACATCCTTCAAAACACGGATACAGACACAAGAAATCCTGCTTTTATGTGAATTAGTCCCCGAGTTACTGTCAAAAATGCTTTTAGTGGCGGCCATTTGGAAAATGGCCGCCAATGGCGCATTTCACGGAATTCTGAGTGACTCCATGTCCAATATTATTCGTGTAAGGAATGTTTTACCACTGTGCCTTTTATTATTACTAAAACAATGCAGTGGTTCGGTCACATGTCTGTCTGCAAACACACACACACAGTTAGAGACCTTAAATGTTACACACATATTACATGGATCCCAAGGCTGCCATCCATTACTATTGAACACGGACCCCTGGGTTGTCTGCACCTGCAGACATTCCCCAGCCACTGGGTCTCCCTCAGTTTACACGTGAGTCATTGTCAGAACGATCCATAGGGCAAGTTACTTAAGGTGGGAAGTGTATCCATTTCATGTTTGTGTCGGAGTCATTGTCATGTAACATCAATATATTACTCTATTAATGTGTCCATGCCATTGAGTTAACTAATAAACAGCTGTACTTACAAAGGTGTTTAGAGGTTTTCCCCAAAGAACATAGTAACAGTTAAATATATATATTGTTACGAGTTGGATTTAGAATACAGTTAAAAGTCTACCCAGATCCTAAATATAATAAACAATAAAAAACTTAACAAACAAAGACAACGGACTGCAAAGGGTAGAAAAGGATGAGTTTTGTTGTGTATAACAGCACCATAAATCTCATCAAAACATTCAGGCTTACACCCCATCTCCTTAACTCCATTTCTAACCTCCAAATATACAACATTGGCTTTCTTAATAGCATATATATACATTTATACAATACAAGAATCTAGCTGCGGAGGGCATAGGACAGGTCAAATACTTAAGGAGCTGAGATGTCTGACGAGTAAGGCTGAGGATTGAAGAAGATGGTAGGTCATCAGCTGTAGTTCAGGATAGGTGATCCTAGTGGTCATCAGAGGAACTGAAATCTCCTTTAATCCTGAGCTGATGAGAGGAAGACTTGATGAGATGAGACAACAACCAGGATAGAGAAGGGAACCAGGAGGTGACTAAAACTATCATATGTGGCTTCATCCTCAGATGGCCTGCAGTGCTGCAGGTAGACTTTACACCCGATGCATGGTCTGTAATAATATATATATATAAGATATATATATATATATATATATATATATATATATATATATATATATATATATATATATATATATATATATATATATGTTGATAACCATATGAAAACAAGAAACACGAAGTTCCTATTTCTGTAATCTTACACAATTGTAAGATGGCTATATATACTTGGATCACGCGCACCACAGTGATTTATATATATATATATATATATATATATATATATATATATATATATATATATATATATATATATATATATATATATATATATATATATATGCACCACTCTTATTCTAACACGTATGTTAGATGAGATCTCATAGATGTAGTGTCCCATGAGTCATCTCAATCATTGAACACCTCAGTGAATACCACGACACTGACCACACACAGGACAAGAACAATATGGTCCAGCTTTGTTGAAGGTCTACAAATGATTGCGGCATCCTCGAGATTTGACATTGCTATGGAATCCACTCCATATTTCTCCCACTCCCAGTCGATTGGGGACAGAAAGTTACTGCTTTTTACCTTGCACTTAAATAAAGCGATTAAAGAGTGTAAACGAGGCCATAATTGTGATGTGTCGATGACAAAATGGAGAGTCAAACTTCTTGATTTCATATACATCCTAGCCATACAGTGCCCGCACACTTAAACGATATTTCATCACCGAATCAGCTAAAAGGAGTCTAATAAATATGAATTGATGAAGGCTTCACAACCTTTGCCGCCATTTATTTGAGCCAGGATTATTGAACACAGATTATGCTCATTACGTCTCACAGGCTTCAGGATCGAAGTGCTTTTTCGCTTTCCTATAAAGAGCTTGACGTCGTTGCAACCAAGACTAAATGAAGGAAGAAGACAAGACAGGTGCCCTGAGGATTTTGCTCAATAATTTGTTACACATTGGTAAATCTTCAGAGCAGAAATGTGAGCCGATTTAGACTTGGCAAGAGTATTTTATATCGACTCTAGTAAGTGGTGAGAAATACAAGTAAATCCGTGGCATCACCCACTACTGCAATTTTCTGCCCTTTATCTTCTAGTTTGTAAGCCATTTTAACAATTAATGTATCAGCATCATCATTGGCTGAATGAACCATTATGCCAACAGATTGGAAGTGTACCTTCAGTTTATTGATCAGTTGTGTCTTTTTAGATCTATTACTAAGGAAATTTGCTTGTGGTATTGTTTGGAAGCTCGACGGTTTTTTTCCCGAGTTTTAATTGTTGATATTTGTGGATAGCCATCAAATACTACTACTGCATTGTTACCATAGTGCTTGATGCCATAATTTGTGTAGACGCTTAGGGCATCCTGGTACTTTGCTGGTCGCGGCCACACTACTCTATGAAGTAGGTGCCCGCCATCCACAATATATTGGTAGTCCTCTGAGACTGTACCTTAAAATGGTCCGCATAATTCAAGTAGAGTTGCGAGTGCTGTTTTGTGTCCTTTCCTTATTGAAATCTCATCAAAGAGTGAAGGGGGTTTAGGGGCTAACTCATAGGTTAAGTAACTGGTCAGCTGGTCACCCTCTTGCATTTCGCATATTATTCTCTTGAGCAGCTGTTGGAAATTGATTGCGAAAATTTTTTCACGAACTAACTCCAAAAGTCACCATTGCAATAGATCTTACCAGAGCACGCCAAGAGGCACAGGTGGTCCCCATTTGAGGTCACGGCGCCATAAGCTCGTTGAACAGGCTTTGTGTGAAATATAACAGAGTCTAGGACTTCTTTTAGTGTCCTGGTGGCCCAGAGGTAGCGTTCCCAGTCACAGTTATAAGATCATGGGTTCGAATCCCGGTGGGGTGAGGTATTGATTATATGTAGAAATCTGCGTGCTTTATTGGGCTAATTAAATATATATATATATATATATATATATATATATATATTTCATGTAAATCCACAATGAAAACGTGGATAAGATAAATCTTGCCTCTGAAGATGTCTTGAATAAAGACGAAAGCTAAGGTGCTCCGTTGTTTCCATTTTCCCGTGTGATTTTATCAATATATATCAATATATATATATATATATATATATATATATATATATATATATATATATATATATATATATATATATTTATTTATTTATTTATTTATTTATTTATTTTTTTTTTATTTATTTTTTTTTTTATGGTGTAAAGTCTGAACATTAGTATAACTGAGCCATGTAGCTAAATGTTCAAAGAGGGATGTTTAACTCACGTGAAATTGAGCGCCTTGCCCAAGTAGTCCACCATGTTGTCTGTGTGTTCACCATCCCTGCCTTTCTTCTTTACCTCTATTGAGTGTAACGCTTCCGTTGCCACAGCCAGCGTTGGTCGTTCTAAGAATCTAGGGTGAAAAATAATCATCATATCACTGTTTATGAAAATGTGGAGTGACAGTTTGTCTATTAATATCCTTTAGGCTATCACCTATCATTAACTATCATTAAATGTACCATTAGGTTTTAATAATCTGAATAATAGGGTATAGAATTTATGGAGAAAATTATTAATTATCTTGTTTACACAGTTATCTTAGGAAGAAGCACACCTGGTGTATTTGTCAGGGAAAAGTGGGAGATGGGTGGCAAGGGTTAGACCTCGGCGAGGCGTCCAGGAGGCAAGACTCAGAGCCCTGTCTTCTGGTGAGCTGTATGGTAAGTACATGTACACACTGCATCTGTGAAATAGTTCATTATTATATAATGTTTCCATTTCAAATCCTTCTAAACTACCCGTTCCTTTGAGAATATATCATGCACTGTTCACTTTGATGGAACAACTAAACTGCTCATATGTTATTCTAAAATAACACACAAACGAGAGTCGATACCTAAATTTCCCTGAAGTATCCTGGACCATAAGCAACATGGAGTTGGTCGTGGAGAGTAACTTGTGTAGGTAGTGCAGCTCCGGGAGGGGCAGGCGGGTGACGACGAGGAGCCTCGTTGGCCACACCAGGAGGCGGCCCTTGAGGGACCACTCGGCGAAGGCGGCGAGGAAGGCTGGGTCGTCGCTCACCACCACCACCGTCACGCACCATGACACCTGCCGCAGCTGTTGACGTTAACACAGTAGAAGTTATGTGAGAGTGACCTACCCGCCTCAGTAGTAATGTGAGAGTGACCTGTAGTAATGTGACCTACCCGCCTCAGTAGTAATGTGAGAGTGACCTACCCGCCTCAGTAGTATGTGAGAGTGACCTACCCGCCTCAGTAGTAATGTGAGAGTGACCTACCAGCCTCAGTAGTAATGTGAGAGTGACCTACCCGCCTCAGTAGTAATGTGAGAGTGACCTACCCGCCTCAGTAGTAATGTGAGAGTGACCTACCCGCCTCAGTAGTAATGTAAGAGTGACCTACCCGCCTCAGTAGTAAGGTAATAGTGACCTACCCACCTCAGTAGTAATGTGAGAGTGACCTACCCGCCTCAGTAGTAATGTGAGAGTGACCTACCCGCCGAGCCTCGTCGACCACCCGGGAGAGCTGTGCCTGCGTCACGTTAGCGTCCTGGCCGTCCACTGCCACCTCGAACAGCGCCACACCCCAGGGAGGTGATATTGACCTAAATTCCTGTAAGAATAAGTTGATAACTTTTCCACTTATTTATGTTGTTGTTATATGATGATCTTATATACCAATTTATCTATAGCAGTTCGTAGGATTTTCTTTTTCATTATCATACGTAACCAAGATTTCATTATTGAAATTTCTATATAATGAATCACTGAGGTTTATAAACAAGTGTTTTATATGGCATTCTGAACACAGGCATTGTAATAGTTATCGTGATTATGTAGTTCCATATTTTCTTTGTTACTTTCAAACACGATAATATTAATAACAACATAACAATGAATATTTACATTAATCTGATAAGAGGAAGCGTGAATATGGGCCATTTCTATAAATGTTCTTTTTAGTAACTGATAAACCAGAATGGATGGCCGGAGCCTCCCAGTGGATATAGCACTTGCCCCCTCTTCTATAATGAATGGATATCTAATATTACAGTCTAAGTGAAAACGATAAAAAGCAGTGCTGGCCACACTACCTTTTTGAGTGCTCTATCCAAGCTGCCCTAGTGAGCCGTCTGACGATTAGTTTCATACGAAGGCTACTTTTAATAATCTGTAAACTATAATTTTAGTTTTGTCATTTCTAAGCAAGTCTTCCTTGTTGAATTAATTTATTGACGGAGATACAGTGTTAAAATAACAAAACGTTACATAGGGAATACAAGTTTACGCACCGTAAACACTGTGAGGGCTGAAGGATGGCCGTCAGTAAGGAAGATGAGGGAACAGCGAGGATGCCACTCACTGACTAACACCGCCTGAAGGACCTCAGGAGCCACCGCCTCTAAGATAACTGTAAAGGAATATTCTGATATACTGATTACCCTTGACTTTCTTAATATTTCTGATAAAAGTTGCAAGAAAGTATTTTATAACCAGTCAAGGTAATTAAATTCGGATCGCAGATAGATAGATAGATTTATAGATAGATAGATATATAACTTTAATCGCTACAATATTTGTAAGTGGTTTAACGTCGCAAATTCAAAGCTGCCATTCTCAAAGAAGCACTGAGAGCTGTTTTTTTTCTTCTTTTTTTTTACTGGGATTAGCCCATCCGCTCAGAGGTCACTGACCCACATCAGGGCCTTGGGGGCGAAAATGTAAGAAAAATAATAATAATAATAATAATAATAATAATAATAATAATAATAATAATAATAATAATAGTAATAATAATAATAATAATAATAATAATAATAATAATAATAATAATAATAATAATAATAATAATAATAATAATAAAAAAAATAATAATAATAATAATAATATTAATTCATAATAAATAAAGTTCACAATAAAAAAACAATATTATAAATAAAATAATAATAACTAATAATAATAATAATAATAATAATAAAGAAATACAAAAATGAAAAATGATCAATAGTGATAAACGATATATGTATGTTGTGTTGTGAAAGTAAGAGAAATAATTGAAACCCTCCAATTGTGTGTAAATGAGGCAGAATGTCAGATCATCAACCTGGGACCTGGTCACACTTTTCGTGGTGTCATATGGCAACAAGGTCCACAATTAGACAACACATTATGTTTACAATATCATCCCAGGCGGTAGCACATCCCTGTTTGATGACTGCCTACTACCTACTACCTGCTGTTAGCGTTCAAACTTAATACACGTATCGAAGGAAACTCAAGATTCCATTTTAATTGCCTTCCTCACCTACTTCTGCCCCAAAAAATATTGTTTGATAATCCTGGAAAATAAAGTATTGGTCAAGTCCACGCTATTGTCTTCAACTATTACTGAAATTTAATTTATCCATTTTTCCTTCTCTCTCTCTCTCTCTCTCTCTCTCTCTCTCTCTCTCTCTCTCTCTCTCTCTGTTTCTTAATCCTCATAAAATTTTAGAATTACCCGAAGGTAGAAGAGACTGGGCCACACTCAGGAACACAGCCATCAACACCAGCGTCCTGCCAGCACCCACCATCTGTGAAGCTCCCGGGGACTGGAAGTAAGGACAGGAGACTCATATTAACCAACTACCTCAACCACAGCTCACTATCGTTGATGCTGAAAGTCGCAATCAAACGATTTTGGTATTGATCATGTCCATAATGCTTTTACATCCTGAGTCATAAGTTCAATTAGGCTAATATACAAATAACCTTATTGCTTTAATGTAAATAAATAATATGTACATTTTAGATGTATTTTTTTAAATCCTTCAAAACTCATGGTCCTTCGTATTATTTTATCTATATATTTTTAACATGTACATCTTAACAATTTTATATTAATGATTGTAGTAAAGATAGTGTTCCAAAGAGTCATTAATAGAAATATATTGAGAGGAAAAATGCGTGTACAGTTATATTTTGTTAGAAGAGAAAGTTATCGTGATACATATATATATATATATATATATATATATATATATATATATATATATATATATATATATATATATATATATATATATATATATATATATATATATATATATATATATATATATATATATATGCTTCATTTTTAGTCCATATAACACGCGGACTTTGAACATATCATCAACAACCTCACCAGCCAGGACTCGAACCCTCGACCTACTGTGTGGGACCAGCTGCATTTGGTAAAATGCTACTGACATCCACATAAATGGCACGGAAAGTTCCCAATGGGAGGTTCACGGCGCCATCAGCTCGATGAAAAGGCTTTGTGTGAAATATAACATAGTCTAGAACTGCTTTTAGTGTCTTTGTGGCATGGTCGGTAGCATTCCCTGGTCCCACACAGTAGGTCGAGGGTTCGAGTTCTGGCTGGTGAGGTCGTTGATTATATATATATATATATATATATATATATATATGTTTTCTTTTTTCTTACGGGAAATAGTCCACCCGGGCACAGGTCATCAACCCACAACATGGCCTAGGGGAAGAAAAATAAAAATAATCTGCACCACGAAGATGCCGGAAAACTAAGTTTTTAAAGTGAGACAGATTGTAAGAGTGTGGAAGCACAAAAGAAGGCAGAGCATTCCACAGTTTGGCTGTGTGAGGAAAAATGGATACACTATAACGGGTTATTCTAGTGTGACCGACATCCACAGGGAAAAGGTGGGCACCGCCGGCAAGACTTGTGTTACGAGCCAACGACCTCGCCGGCGGTATGCAGGATGACATATCCACCGAACATTGCCAGTTAAAGTACCTGTAAAAGAGAGAGAATGAAGCAACATTCCGGCGAAAAGAAAGGGAAGAAAGATTGTCGACTAAAGGAGGAGAGTTAATAAGACGAAATGCCTTTGATTCCACCCTATCTAACAGTTGGCCAGAAGAAGAGCCACCCCAAATATGAGAGCAGTACTCCAAGTTATGACGAATGAATCCCTTATATACTTGAAGCAACTGCTCAGGAGTGAAGTAGCTTCGGCATCTGTACAGCATTCCCAGCTTTCGGGTGGCAACTTTACCAATGTTGAGGATGTGTGGCTTCCATAACATATTAGAGGAAATAGTGAGACCTAGCATATCTATTTTAGAATTTGGCGGAATGATTGTGTCCTAAAATGTGATTGGTGGGAGATCATCTAATTTGGAAAGTGTAATTGGTAAATACTGAGTTTTATTACTATTGAATTTCACCAAGTTTCTTCCTCCACCATTCGGAGATGCTGCACAGATCCGCATTGATAGATGTAATGATATCAGCTCTAGAAATAGATCTAGTTTGAGAGTTAGGGGGAAGGGGAAAATGTGAAGAAGAGTGATGAGTAGAATCATCAGCGAAAGAATGGATAGAATTAGTTGTAGTGTGAAATAAATTATTGATAAAAAGAAGGAAGAGAGTAGGTGAAAGAACAGAACCCTGTGGGACACCACTATTGGTAGAGAAAGAGCGAGAGATCGATTCCTCGACAACAGCTGCCATGGATAGATTCTCAAGTAAGCTAGATATAAGAGAACAAAGTGGGGGAGAAAAACCATCAGAGGGAAGTTTAGAAAGCGAAGATTTGTGCCATACACTGTCAAATGCTTTGGGGATGTCGCGGGCCACGACGAAAGTTTCCCCATAATCCCTAAGAGAGGATGATCAAAGATGGGTGCAGTAGGAGAGCAGATTACCAGTAGATCTAGCCTGGGGAAAGCCATTCTAGTGATCCGACAAAAGAGAAGTGGCGTTCAAGGCGACGGAGAAAATGAGTTTATGATAATTTCGAAAATCTTAGAGAGGGACGAAGTTAGGGCAATGGGGCGATAGTTAGAGGGATTAGAATGGTCACCCTTCTCCGGGATGGGCTGAACCAAGGCATGCTTCCAAGAAGAAGGAAAAGTTTGGGTTTTGAGGCAAAGGCGAAAGAGGCGAGTAAACACAGGGGCAAGAACTTCAGCACACTCCCTCAGAACACGAGGGGGGGTATTCCCAGGGCCGGATTCAGGAGTGGGCAAAGTGGGCAGCTGCCCAGGGGCCTCCACAATCTGGGGGCCTCCACATATTACAATATTTTATTTATTTGTTTATTCATTTGGATTATTTTTATTTTCATTTTTTTAAATTCATGTTTATCTATTCCATCACGTAAAACTATGTTCAGCAAGAAGCGTGATAGAAATTAGGCTAGCTACTCCTTGAAATTCATGAATACCTGGTTTTCCTATGAACAGTATATTTTTAATGAATGCTATTGTTTGTGTTGCTAATAATATAATTAGAATTCCACAAATATATAGTGATTAAAAATGAACTACATGGAATAACGAAATTGAGATTTAAAAAAAATTTATATTTTTTTTTCATTATCACTTCCATTAAGAATGCCATCAGGGCGCTGTTTGTTGACAGTCGGTCGGAGAGGGTTGGGTGTTGTAGTATCTGCACATCTGTTGTCATGTGTCTGTCGATTAAAGAGGAGACTTGCGTCTCCCATGATTCGTGAACTTCCCACGAGTAGACATAAACATGTCTTGCAGATGTAAAATGAGAGAGAGAATTGTCATGTGTGCTTGTTGAAAATTTTTCCGGGGGGCTTACAGCGCCCCCCGGAACTCCCAGATATTTAGGCTCACTTCACTCGCCACCCCACCCTCTTGGGTAGTTATAATGAGGGAGGCCTCCACAAAGAGGCTGCCCATGGGCCTCCACAGGTCTAAATCCGGCACTGGGTATTCCGTCCGGTCCATACGCCTTACTCACATCCAACCTGGATAACACAACAGCAACCCTAGGAGTGGAGATTATAGGTAAGTGCATAGGTTCAGTAGGAGGAGCAGGGGTTGGAGGGGTAGAGTTGGAATCGTCTAAGGTGGATTTAGAGGAAGATAAGATTGGCTTTGTCAGGGGGAGAGTTGGCTATAGAGTTGTCAGGTCGGAAGAGAGGAAGAAATGAGGGAGTGCAGAAGTTATTACAGATGCTTTTGGTTAAGGACTAGAAGGATTTACTTGAGGAAGAAATAGTTAGGACAGCGGTCTTTCTTTTTATAAAATTTAGCTTAGCCCTTACAGCGATTCCTAGAAGTAATGAAAAGGAGTGGGTAATAGGAGAAGGAGATAGTTTCAAAACTACATGCAAGAGAACTGGAGCGATCAAACCATGATTGTAAAGTGAAAGTTTTGGTAAAAGATGGGATAAATGCACTCATACCACACTGTATGACCCCAGTAATGCTGTCAGCACATATCGAAGCGTCCCGAGTGGAAAAGCAACATTCATCCCAAGGAAAGTCGGTGAAGAATTCTCGCAAGGATTGCCAGTTTGCCCTCCGATAGTGCCACAGTTGACGTTTAGAGAGGGGTGGGGGAGGTGGTCGTGCCCAGTTTGATTTAATAAAAATAAAATTGTGATCAGAAGACCGTAAGGGGGCAGAAATTGAGTATAAATAGTGTGAGGGGTTAGAGGTAAAACAAAGATCAAGAATGTTAATGAGTTGATTGTGTCGATCAGGAACGCGTGTAGGGTGTTTAATTATTTGTTCCAGATCATTAAGTAGGGAAAAGAGAGTGCCTCAGCGCCTCCTGGGTCATCCCTTGCAGAGCCAAGTCACTTTTTGTGATGTACATTGAAATCCCCTTTATAAATATTTGAGGATGTTACCTTTAACTGTAACGATAGCCTTTGTATAGTGTGCACAACTATCCCACATAATTATAATACTAAAGTATCCTACAAATGTAATATTATTCCTATTTAATGTTATAACAAAGCTGATAGCTATATTATGCCGTAAACTGTTTATTGCTTACCCTTTTACCAAAACATGAAGTGCTTTATTGCTTGAACAAAAGAACCTCTTGTTTTCCTTGCGGGAAATAAATATTTTCATGTAACCTTATGATAATGTTACCTTTCAAACGAAGTTTATCGTTTATGTTTACAATGTTTACTACGTAACAACGTTTGGACTTGTAACTATTCATATAGCAATACAATAAAGATGACATTTTTTTCTCCTCTTAATGTTACAAAATATTTAATTTGGGGGCTGAAGGATATATACAAAAACACTTGAAACAGCAAAAAACACTTTATTATAATCAAGAAAATAAATTACAATGCTGCCTTAATCAAATCAAGCTTTCTCATGTAAATATGATAAACACAAAATATTCTGTTCAGTCGTTCCACAGTGATCCCAGAGATCTCTTTATATTAGATCATCATTATTGTATGTCTACTCTTTGTACAGTACTACTGTCATTCTTTGTGGTGAACATATACAAAACCAAACACCTCAATTTTTTTCTGAAACTTCGAAAATCTTAACATTGTTTATTTTGATCTGTAGCACACATCTCCTGTACCCCGGGAACCATTTTCATAGTGACAAAACTCCTATAATTATCGATAAACTGGTGATTAAGATATTCGAATGTAGATCGAAAATTATGAATCTTTGCCAAGAGCCTTAGATTGTCCATGAATAAAGATGGGTGGTGACGCTTATCAATTTCCATGAAATCTCGGTAGTACGGAACTTTGTATGGCTTAGTGTAACACCGGAGGTAAGT